GCCTAACAATAGGCTTGATTAGCTCTATTTAGTGACATGTAAAAGAGGTCCATTGCCTAACAATAGGCTTGATTAGCTCTATTTAGTGACATGTTAAAGAGGGCCATTACCTAACAATAGGCTTGATTAGCTCTTTTTAGTCACATGTAAAAGAGGACCATTGCCTAAAAATAGGCTTGATTAGCTCTATTTAGTCACATGTAAAAGAGGGCCAAGCTTATTGTTAGGCGATGGCCCTCTTTTGCATGTAACTAACCCGTTTGTCCATGTGGAGGCAGTGCTTATAAGACTGAGTTCACCTGAAACTCCTCAGACTGAAGAAGTCTCTTGGATGAGAGACGAAACGTTTCACTAAAGAACTCATCCAGAGGATCTACTGATTTTTTCTTTTTGATTCTTCTCCCTGGATTACTGAGATGCATCAGGACACTCTTCATCAGCTAGTTTGGCAGATGAAGGCACCAAAATAAACATGATAAAATGACATGAACATGTCGAGTTCCAGCACATTATCTTGCAGCATGACAGTTTACAGAAAAGAGGAACATGTAGATACATTTCCATTTCATGAGGCAAAAAGCTGGTGAGGCCACGGTAAATATTTCCTTTGGTGCTAGTCACTATCTGTCCTGATTGTCCAACATGAGGCTGCAGTCCGGGACATCGTCCACAGGGGTGTCGTGGACGGGGTTGACAAACCCTTCAAACTCAGCGTCCTCTGGGTGAGTACTCACAAAATCATTCTCCCACTCCAGAGCGTTGGAGTCATCAGAGGCCGAGGTGGGCCCGCTGTTCACCTGCCTGCTGCCAGGCTTCAGAGACGCCTGCAGGATGTCCTCCTCGGTCCGTGACCGCTCCCAGACAGGAAGTGCACGATTGATTCCTGTAATGCAGACATACGCTCGGCTGAGTCCAGGGTCTACTCAAGACTGTGAATCTTTAATTATATTTATTGCAACGCCTAAAAGGTTTTAAAGTCATTTTTTGTAGAGTCTGTGTGTTTGTTGGGTTGTTTGTTAGCAACTTATCCAATGAACCACTGAATAGAAACTCTTAGAAAGTGGGTGTACATGTATAATTAAGTTTTAGAGTCAACATGATTTAAAATGTCCTCCACAGTTAACTGATACTAGCTAATGCAAATATAGCTATAACTCAGTCATCTTTGCAGATGTTGTGATTTCCAAGGCTTGAAACATAAAGTTGATCCTAGTCTAAAGTTTTGCATTAAAGGGATCCATGATTAGTTGTAACATTAGACTTTATTTGAGAAACATATATTTTAACTGCAAAATAAAGACTATAAAAAACTGTAGGCTTAGTTTTTATCATTTTTAAAAATATATTTTAATTTGGATGGAGGAATTTTATTTATACACAAAGCATTCTGGGTAAATGATGACGTGGATAGGTCCTCGGTGCGAGGCTGCTAG